GAAAGCAGCGGGAGTCGCTCCTGTGTGATGCAGAGCTGCTCTTAATAGATTGGAGGAAGGGAGGTCTGAGTGTAGATAGATGTGTTTTTGATCTGACAAGTTATCAATACCATTGTTGTTTCTCTTGTTTTGCAGAGGCTTCTGGATCAGATCCTGCAAAGATAAACGAAAGAAACCGAAAGGCAAAAGGGGATCACTTGCTATTATATCAACCCCTTCTCCTCCATGGACAGTATATTAAAAGTGACTTTGTATTTAATGCAGTTGCTGTAATTATCTATGCAAAATCTTTGTTATGCTTGTGCATATGTATTCATATTAATAAGACTCCCTTTCTGTTAAATTACCTCCTCCATCTTTGCCCTTTGCAGCCTGATCACTTTATTGCAAAAGAATGCAACAAAAAACGGGAAAAAATTAGATTTTGCTGAACAAGCTTTTGTAAACAGCAAAGAATCAGTATAGTGGTGATAAATCACATCTCACCACTTTCTAATAAGGAACCCTTTACAAAGCGTTCATGAGTTTAAATTAAGGGCTTTATTTATTTATTTATTATCATTAACAACTCAATAATGTGTGTAACTGCAGACTTGATGCTGATTGAAATGTGATCTATCTATCTATATCTATCTATAAATGGATTACCAAATTCATAACTGCATTCACAACCCGACAACCCAAATGTTGAGTGATCAATAAAGCATTAGTAAATGATGTGTTAACCATTAATAAAGTCGTTAGTTAGAGCTAATAAGCCCTTTATAACACATGTCTTATGAGAGAGCTTGTGTCTACTCATGCCACAATGGCAGATAATGGCAAAACAAGCAATGTTGTTGACCAACATTATGCTATAAAAGTATTCTATAGATGAAAATTGTGTATGATGTTCAAGGCGTATGCTGTAGAGTTAATTAAATGTTGTGTGCAGACATTGACAAAGACCAGCCTTGTCACCTACAAACGATATACTCATAATTAAAAAATGAGAAGGGTTTGACAGCTGAAATATTAAAGCAATGAAATTGCAATCTGTCTTCCTTGCTCACATTAACACCCAGTGATTAAATGCAATACAGATTTATCATATAATTTCTTTCCTAATGGTTTGATTCCTTATCTGTAATATCATCTTCGTCTAATGCATGTCAAGTATCTCTAAATGAAATAAGAGAATTCCAAGGACATTCAGTGTTGACGCAGTGTCATTTTCCAGGAAATTGAGTCTCTGTGCTTTGTGCAAAGCACCTTGACTCTGTCATTGGTACAGTACTGTAAAGGAGAGAGGCAAGAGAAGGGAGAACCATGTTTCGTCATTGGCCTCACATCTGCCTCGAGGCCTCTGGAACCTCCCATCCGGAACAGTGGAATTCCAAGCTAATCGAACTCAGGAGACACGCAGCGCCTGTGAAAGGGGCCTTTGTCGCAGAGCTCCAAACCAGAGATGACATTGTAATAAGAGAGGAGACTTCTGAGCACAGCTTGGGACCACAGTCCACATATAGCCTGTAAAGGTGACTGACATCTCTGTGGCATTTAAGTGGAGCCTGCTGGGATGAGGAGAGAACAGGGGAAGGGCATGTGCCGCAGGTCTGTATAAATACACACTGTATAAATACATACTGTTGTGGCAGACTTTTGGTGAGTGGATTGCTCTGGAGTAAACACTGACAGTGCTTTAAACCCTGAATGAAATGATGTATTAATTGTTGAATAAAGGATGAGTTTTATCCTGCTGCTGTATTTCATTTTCTACTAAGATGAAAGTGATTGACAATGTTCTCCAAACTTGTGCCATCCAGTATGATGGTGCAACATACAGTATATACTGTGGAAAAAAAAGTATATACATATATATGTTATATACTGACTTCACTGATACCTATGTTACCAACAAGACCATTTAAAAGAGTAATCCACATGGGAGAGCTGCTGTCCTGCCATGTAGGCTGGTTCCACACGATGAGCACAGACTGACAGGCAGATGTATTCGAGGAGAGGGGCCTCTGTCAGTCAGCCTCTGTCTCTCTGAGGCATCATGTGTCTGTATGTCACATTGCTATCTCCGCATAATGTGGACTATGTGCTCTGAGGCCCCATTGACTGGCTTCCCAATGGCCTTGACAGAGTTAGATGCCCGGAGGGCAAGGCTGATATGTCTGTCTTAGAAAGCAGAGCAGTGGCTGAGCTCACGGGGCTAATTGTGTAAGCCCAAGCAGGGCCACTGGTTATAAGTGTTTAGTCATTAGTCATTTCACTGGCACACATTTTATCTGAACATCTAGCCTCAAGACTAGCATCGGCCTTGTGTTCTAGGATTGTCACTGTAACATTAAGACAAATAGACTTCCCAGTTAAAATCTACTATATTCACTGTGTGTGGGCCTTGAATTTGGCATTACAGACGAATCTGTGGGTGAGCAACAGGCATAGACAAAACAGAATTATTCAACAGTTACAAGTGAACAACAGAAAACAGAGGTTTTTCAGGGCGTATATTTTAGTAAAACTCTTCAGAGACAAAAAGAAAATACACAGGTACAATATGACACTGGGATTTTAAGGACATAACTCACTCAAAGTCAGCTCTGGCAAAGCAATGCATTTTTTTTTTCATTTTCTTGCAGTTTGTAGCCTCAGTGGAGATGTAGAGTGAACTGACGCCTGCGCAAAGACATCTGTGACTCTTTTGCCTGCAGCGTACACACACTAAAAAAGATTAGACTAAACCAGACCAGGTACCCTGTGCAAAACGCAGATGGGGCCTGAGTGATGACAGTTCGTCCATGTATATGTGTGTGTATGTGTGTGTTTGTGTCTGGAGACAAATAGAGAGAGAAAAAGGAGAATGATCCCAGGGGTGTTTCAAAATGAGGGGTGACTCACCATTTTGATTGCTGAGTACATTTTCAAATAAATAATATTCATACTGGAATTGAATAATGAAGTGTTTTTATTTCATCTTAACATTACTCAAAACAAATGCATGTTGTGAAGACAAGCAAAGTGAAACACACAGCTTCATTTCAAATCTTAGCTCAAAGTTTTCTCAGAGAAATCTCTTGCAGAAACTTGCAATTCAACAGGTGAAAAGGTTAATATTCTCTTTTAAATGTCAGTTTGTAATCCCATCAGCATACATGCACAGATCTCATTCCACAAAACTAATCACAGGGTTTCATAATATATTTTGCTTCAATTTACACCCCAAGCAATGCCATACTCAAACTAAGGCTCTGCCCTTTTCACAGCTTTTTTTTTATTTTTTATTTTTATCTCACTTGGTTGTGCTTCTGAGGCTTCAGCCACCATAGTTTAGAAAGAGGGACACAGGGGACTGAAACAAGAGAAGATCAAAGTTCTCCTCTACTGTGTGATACATTTGATTTTTTATTTGACAAATGACATTTAATCATTTGCTATTTAGAGAAAATGTTTGGTTTCCAGCTGGACCACAAGGACAGACCACATGGCTGAGTGAATGATGTAGTTATACCATTGGTCATCCAAATGCTGAGTGACAAGGCATTGGCTGGCTGCTAGTGTTGGAGTTTCCCTATTGGTTGTTGCTCTTCTAAAATGATTTTGTGTAAACAAGCAGTATTACAGTTTTACAGACTTTTCAGACCCCTTTTTCCAAAAACTGGTGGTGCCACGTTTATTAAATGTCTCAATGGAGGTGATTAGGACCGTATTTAAAAAATGTGAAATTGAGGAGACATTGAGATAAAATGTGACTCTTTTGCTTTATTAACAAAAATAGTGCGAATTACAATATTAGTTAATAGAATAAAATAAAAAATAATACAAATTAAATTATTTATATATAAACGCCAAGTGGTGTTTATTGATGTGTGGTGGCGTTCATGGACCAGGTGGTGGCGCCATACCGTAATTAAAGGTGGCGATTAGAATGGCGTTTACAATACTTAAAAAATGCGGCGGAATTGAGACGAAATGTGACCCTTTTGTTTCGGACGACATCTTTGATTCTGGTGGCATATTTTATTCACCCATCCGCATTACGGGACTAAAATGCAAAGCTGCCGGTTCAGGCGGAGTCTGAGACAGCTACGGACATATCTAGCGACTTTTTGGACAAACCAAACTTTCCATAGAGGACAGTCGCCATTTTACTACATGAGCAAGGTTAGACCGGTTAGACTTCCCCTGGCTATGCTAACAGGCCTTTGTGCTGACTGTACTGCAGCTGACGTTAACGAGCTTCTAACTTTATCTCTGAGTTATCATTTTACAAGTGAGTATAGCCGAAATCACAGCACAGCCGTTGACGTTAACTTATGTCTGTGGAGGGTTTGTCAGACGTTGTGGCAGTTACAAAATCAGGATTTTAGCAGTGCAAGGAAATGGCTTGGAAGTTAAAATTTTGCCTTAATGGGACGGCCAATATTTTATATTTGCTCAATTGCCTGACATCAGAAAATGAAAACCATGTAACTGGGAACAGCTTTATCGGGAATTCGGCTGTATTAAAACACAGTATGTGAGCAAGGACAGTAGCAGAGCAGCAAACGGATAATTAAAGGACTGAAACCGGCTGACATTAGGCATACAGCTTGAACGCAAACTGGATTGGGGTGTACTTGTCCGACTCTAGGACCCAGCGGACCCTGAAGCGCACATGGCAAAGTGTGGCTGCTCTGGTACTAGAGGGGATGGTAAGTCCGCTTCACTACTCCCCAACACCCTCTCATTCTGTCTTTTCTACAGCTCCCTGCCATACCCCTCACATGAGCAACACACCCACACACAAACATTTAGTCAACACACGCATTTGTACGATTTTCCCCAGACCGTTGCCCGCCAGAGGTCTGGTGTTGTGAGGAAAAGTTTTTGACAGCTTCTTCCTCGGAGTGACAACCTGCCGCATCTCGTTGGAGTCCTGTGGTGAAGCCTTTTTTTTTTTTTTTTTTTTTTTTTAAGTCATCCCTCACCAGACTACTGTGAAGTGCTTTGATCTCTATCTCTATCTCGTCACCTGTGAGAAGTGTCTGGTCCTGCTGCATTACTAACGCAGTCTGACCGGAGCGTTTCACCACACCGAGAGCCCCATCATGAGAACCTGGAGGCGGCGGAGGAACTTTGCCTTTCTGATCCTCGCTCTCCGCTTCTGGTGCCTGTCCACGGCGACAGGAAATGCTGACAACACGGTTTACAACATACAAGGCGGTAAGTAAGACCAGACATGACTGTTTAACATTTCTGTCATTAATCACTTGGCTTATTTTCATGTAATGCTGCAGATGTGAAAGCATAATTTTGTAAACTGAACATGATTTTTAGATGGTTTGGTCTGGATTTCATCCATGTTTCATCAGGATACATACAGTGTGAGTAGCTCTTTGCTTACAGTAGGGTTACCTTGCAGTTTATAGATATTTCAATGAGTTAAAGGACTAATATTCCTCATTTTCATAGATGGGACACATATGGTCACACACATTTTTTTTACATTGCTATCATCTTATAGCTCTTTTCAATGTCATGCTGTGCATTTCACACTTGAGGCAGCCAGAAGGGAAATTGAGTTTGCTTTTTTAGATCCATCTTTCTGCTCAGATGGAACAATAAAGGGAAGTCTGGCTGTTGTCAGAATGGACAGATGAGTTTAACATCCAGCAGGATACAGCTTTATCTTTAGGTTGTAAACATGAAACCAAACAGGATGTTATTTTTGTTCAGCTGCTAAATTTAATCTGCTGAATGAATAAACCAATGATAAGCGGGCATTGTGTGTATGGGACAGAGCACGTGCCAGTGTACAAACGCTTGTTTGTGTGTTAATTTGTGTGTGTGGATGTGAGAATAGTAGCAAGATAGCCCTGCAAAGATAAAGGCAGAAAACAAAATACATCTTTACAGATTCACACAAGTCAGGCTCCAGTAAGATCCAGATATTACAAAGATTAAAAAAAACAGCTCTAAATAAATGATCTCTTAATCTCAAGTGATTCAAATACATACAGTGCCTCTGTGAAGTGTACTTCTGAAACAACACTGCATGTCATCATCACATTTAGAGGGAACCATAGGTCCTGGTCCTGGACCTCACAGGTCCTGAGAAGAGGAGAATTCATTGTAGCCAACAAAAGTTAAATGCAGTGCAGGACCACCCTTTTTTCTTCTTTTTTTTTAATGCCTATACTGTTTGTTACAGATTTGGTGCTAACAAATATGAAGCTTAAGGGTGCATCATTAATAGTCCCCCACACATTCTAGCAAATCTTCCCTGCAAATTACCCATGCTGGCAGAGGGGTGGAAAGATGCAGTCCAGGAGATGTTTACAGCATGCATCATCTAAATGTGTGGTCATTAAAGCTCTCACTCAGAGGGTTAGCTGATGTATGAATGCAGGGAGTAAAAATAGTGTTAAGGCGTAGTGTGAGTATTGAAATAGGGCAGTATGTACCAACTCTTTGATGTCAGCAGGATATTGACTTCAGCCTCTCTCTGAAATTTTTGTCATAGCCTCCCTCCACCTTCATGGAGACCACACTACAGTGTGTTCATTATGGTGTAGCTGAGAGCCAGTGTTCAGGGACATTGACTGAAGGTAGTGAGATTAAAACAAACATTTTTTTTCACTTCAGAAATTCTATAGTTATTTTGTTTAATGATGGTGAGGTAGAAAGATAGGAATACAGATAGGGAAAATTGTAGATAGGAAAGATAGATAGGAAAAATTGTTCCAGGCATATTCATTTGAACTGCATTTATGATCTAGCTTGCACGCTAACTGTAGCACATACAGGTGGATTGGTATAACATGTCATTCAGAAATGGAGTTAAAAAAAAAAAAAATAGTAATATATGCAGGGATCCTAACTTGACTCTCCTCCCAAAAAAATGTCAGCATCAGTAATTTCAGCAAATGTCCAAAAACAACATATATTTACATTAAAGTGACAAATTCTCCAGTGGTTGGAGGAATTATGACTCTCTCTCCATGGGTAGCACAGGAGGAAATAGTGTGACACTGGTATAGAGCTGGTGTAGAGGTCCGCATGATTTAGATGGGTTAACAAAATGTTGGACTTTGACACAAGAGACTGCTGTTTTCTTCCAGTTTCCTCTCGTCCTTTTTAAGTTATTTTAAACCCAAACCATGAATTATCCCTAACCCTAACCAAGTTGTTTTTGTGTCTGAACCTAACCAAACCTTAACCATAGTGATGTCAGATCAAGACACTGTGATTTGTTACAGTAGTAGGAGGCACTGTCTAAAGGTTTTCGTCCTGCAGGCATCAGTCATTCTGATTTCAAATCATATTTGTCGTTTAATTTGAAGGACTTGTTACCTGATTTTGAAGTAACAAATTATATAGTAGAAAGATAAATATACACATATGCAGAACAGAGTATCAGGTATTGCCAGGGAGTTATAGGCAGCCTAGAGTGTATGTTGAGTGTAAAGTGGTAGGTATCCATTTGGCAAAGACAGCCTGGCTTAACGGTGTCCTAAATCTGGCATGACTGGTTGTCTGACTATAGCCAGATTTGTGGTGCGTGCCCTGCCAGAATCAACCAAACTTGGGCCGATGCCATGAGCGGACACTTGCCCAAAGTTAGCATGAGCGCTGCTAACTGAGCCCAAATCAACCCAAGTCTGCACCCTCAAAAACTCCAAATCTGGCAGCCATATATGGACCAGAGCCGACTGACAGTCCTCCAGTGCCAGCATACCTCTGAGTGTGCCAACACTCAGCTGCAATTGGTTACCTGGATAGAGTTCAAAATTTGTGTTGTGTTAGCAGTTACTGAAGTAAGTGATGCATCAGATAATAAGGACTTTCTCCGGAGGGATTTTTGGTAGTGTCATGTTGCGTATATTCTGGCCTTGAAGCCAGTAATATTGACTTCTGTGTGTATCTCCAAGAAAAAATTCAACAAGTGAAAGCACTGTAAAAGTTAGCAGGTAGTTTTCATTGAGGGAATGAAATTCTCATCATAGACTATTAAATGCACTTCATCCCAAAACGCATAGTCAGTTGAGTACTGCAGAGGAAAATAAGGCCATTTAGAGAGTCCATGGCGTTGTAGCACCGGCGTGTGCCATAATAATTCAATAATTCCCTCTGTCATAGTCTGACTCACATTGCCTGAAACTCAAAAGAAAATGTCCCTGACACCTGTTATTCTCTTATTTTATAGAATCAAAAAGAATATTTGAAATTATCAAACGATTGACTGACACCGTCTTGACTGTTGGAGTAGTAACACATTTTTTGGTTAAAGCCGAGAGAACTGCCTCTGTAAATATGTTGTTGTAATTAAATTTAGCAAAAATAGTCGAACCAATCTACAAAGTTGAAGTCAGGTGATCAGTAGCTGGCCATATGCTCATTAGGGTTCAAAAAATGTTTATATTTATGACTGGACTATTGAGTGAATTTGAGAAAAACATTTGTGAATTCTTAAATGAAGTGTTATCACCCTTCACGGCTCGATTGCCTTCTGAACTTTAAGAGCAAAAATAACCAAAGTCCCGTAAGAGCAAGAATCAAGCAGGCTGTGTTTACAAATCTTTGATGAATCGGTCTGTCTGAGGCTCTCTGTCTCTGCCTGTCTTTCTTTGTCTCTCCTCTGCATATCAACTGCTTTTCTAGGGGTTTCAGAGGAAACACAATAAATAATTAGAGACAGAAGCAAATGACCTGGATTAGATTTGAGGATATCGGCCGGTCAGACCACAGCATCAGACAGAATTAATTAGAAAGATTAGAATGTCTGTGCTGTCTAAACAAACTGGCGGAGAGGAGAATAAACCTGCCCTCAGCCCCCTGAAGAACACACACAAATACACACAAAGTCCCGTTGGTCTCTGAGGAGCATCACCCACCTCTCAGCACAGTTTCCTGAGATGCAACTCACACCCATCCTCCAGTCTGTGGTGAAATGCGAAGGTATGGCTGGGTTAAAACAACCCTTTTCTGCTTTTAGGGAACAACCTCACCCTGGTCTGTCTTTCATACCCTTGGGGCGGTTGTCGCTTGACATTTTGAGGACAGGCTGGCATTGATTTGTTGGCAGTGAGGGAACGACAGACACAGTTAGAAACTTCTCCCTCTGTTGAGCATCATTGGTCATTATAGCCATCAGTGTGATTTAGCTCCCCCCTGCTCACCACGGGCTACGCTGCCCGAGGATGACGGGATCACAGATATAATAGATAAGCCGATGTTATGAGCAGGCAACATAACGCACACAAACCAGCTGCATGCACAGCTCAGAGATCCATACTGCTGTGTGATAATCTGAGAGACTAACACATTGAGTAATGCCGTGGACAGTTCCAGATGATCATAGGTGAGAAAGGGAAGACGAGGGAGAGGGGAAAAGAAAGAATGTATGTGAGACATTTATTGTAAAACTGGAGAAATCTTCAGAAAGAGCTGCAGACCACCACTTGCAGAGTCATGACAGACAGCAGTCAGTCATGGGTGTGATAGATGACGGTGGGTGCACCCCCCTCCCCCAATCTGCTTTATTCTTCAGAGAACCAAAAGGGACACAGAGACAGGTGCGAAGGCAGTCACCTACCTCTCTCATCCATTTACCACAGTGATTGAATATGTCATACTTCCTGTGAAGCGCAGATATTTTTGTGGGACAGACAATTTTCTCTGAAATGAAGAAAAAATATTACTTTTTTTGTGGCGCGAATGGAGGAAGAATGGAATGATAAATAGATGTAGAGTACGAAAGGAACAGGGAGTCTCTACTGTCGCAACTTATCTGTGAACAGCAAGCTGTTGATATTTATGCTAGAATGCAGAATGGAGGCAGATATTGGATTTGCTAGAGGTGCACACATGCAGTCGTCAGTTCTCACATTTAAATTGAATGAGAGGCTATAGAGGTGTAGCAGAAGAAATGGGAAAAAGAGCTTGTGAACATATGAATTCTTTAAAGCAGTGGTTGGTTGTTTGCTTTTCTTTGAGAGAGCACTCTTCTCAAGTTATATTAGGATTCGCTTGGATGAGAGTAAGGACAGAACAAGAAAGTGGGCTGATGCAACAACATGATTGGGGGTTTGAGACTTATGCAGCTGTACAGCAGGCTGAAGCACCAGGTCATCCTGCATTGATAATTTCACAGCAGAGAGGTCATCACGCCTCTGTCAGTGTATTTACTGTGAGACATTGTTGATTGGCTTCCAGCACTGCTC